GGGGGCTCGTTAGAGCCTGCTGGCTGGTGATTTGGCCAGGCAGGGCCGTCTCCTCAGTGCTGTGAGGGGGCCAGGAGCTCGGATTGAAAGAAAAAAAAAGTCTCTATAAAATCATGGCTCAGTTTTACTTTTCTCTTTAAAGGGCGTTGGCACATGCGCCAGCTCTGCCAATTTGATTAGCTCATCTCTCCCATTAGTCATTTCATGTCACCCTCCTACAGCGGCAGGAGACGCTCAGCAGACTTCGGAATGCAGTTCTCAGGGACCCAGGTGATGCGGGATTTTAATATTCATGCTGGAGGTGCCACAAATAAACCTCCCAGGATCATTTTGTTCAGTGCACGAGCTGTCCTTGATTCCCTCTTCCAACCGGTTTCTCATTTCACTGCCGGGGGGGAAGACGGAGGAGGATCTGAAATGGCCCCAGGTGCAGAAGGCTCCCGGGAGAGGATGGGATGTCGGGATGTTGCTCTGGTGGGTCAGAGCCCAGGTGCCTCTAGTCCTGTCTCCGACAAGGACCAGTGCCAGATTATTCAGAGCAAGGTGCCAGAAACCTCCTCAGCCCTGGTGTTGGAGATTAGTTAAACACCTAACATTTAATCACCTCCCAAACATACCTGAGCATTAACTCCAGCTCGTTGTGTGACCCCCCTACAGCGTGTCCAATGCCTCTTTGAACTTTGCTACATTCCTGATTTCTGGGACATCCTTTGGCAATGAGTTCCACAGGCTAATTACACAGGCACAGGAGGAGAGGGAGTATTTCTCTTGATTTTTTGTATTTGCCATGTTTAGCTTGAAGGATTATGTCCTTCCCCTCTCCCTGATTTCCCCCAAGGGCACGAAGAGAAGCAACATGGAGGTGCTCTCACCTGGCACTCCCCACTCAATGCTGCTGCTAACGTGACCAGCCCTGAAGCAGTTACTCCTAACAGCAGCTAAGGCCTTGCCCCCGAAGCTGGTTTCACCCACCCAGGGCACTGCCACCATTAGGCTCCAGATTCGACACCCCAAGAAAGCCCCGGCTCACACGCCCCATTCTCCCCGGCCGAGGCGCGAGAATGAACCCCGCCAGACAGCTTGAGTCATGCTGCTTAGGGCAGAGCTGGAAGGCACCCCCCTGCTGAGGACGGGAAAGCCCCGGTACGGGGGAGAAGGCTGGTCCCTGCTGAGACCACGGGCTGACGCCCAGCGCTGTAGTGGCAGGCAGCTCCCAGCAGGGCAGGGTCCTACCAACCCGAGTGCGGCATAGGAACAGCTCAGTCCTCAGCGCCCCAGGCCGTGCAGAGGGGCTGCTTGCCAGCCTAGGCCACGGAAAGCTCTGGCTTAAGCCTGCATCTTTAGCAGTCACCAGGGGACGACCCCGGACAGCATCCGGCACCATCCTAGAAGCATCACAGCTACGTGGCTGGATACGCCAACCTCTCTTCCCTCCAGCAGGAGCAGAGCCCCCCGACTTCGTGCCGGCCGCACGGCTGATGGAGGAGAAACGTTCGTCATGCGCAGAACCCTCTCAACTGCACGCCAGCTTCTTGCGACTCACTGCAGGGAAAATTAGCCAGTCTGACCTTTCTAACGAGCCTTCGGCCCAGAGGATTCCAGAGCGCGCGGTCCAGCATCTACCAGGAGCCTTTGCACCTACCACGGAAATGCAGCCACCTCAGGGGAGCCCGAGTGGTATAGCCGGGGACTACACCAGCTTAAGGGAGGGCATCTCCTATGCAAACTCCAAGGAGACGTTTAGGCAGGGGAGACGTAGTTATGGAGATTGGAATGTGGCCAGAACACCAAGCCCTTGGCTCGGTTATCGTTACCTCAGTGTGAATGTTCTTCGCCTAGAGAGAATGTTACTATCAACGTGCAATACGGTCTAATGAGCACAAGGGCCCAGGGCTGCTGCTCCAGCAGCTAAATGCATAAAGGAGGCGGACTAGCAGCAAGCGCATTTCCCTTCTGAGAGCCGGGAGCGGCTCCTGGGGATGGACTTAGCCCCAGGCCCGAGAGCCCAGCACGGCTACTTCCACTGGTTTAGGAAACAGATTAGAGATCAGAACAAAGCTGCAGCCTCTGGCATCCGCAGGGCCAGAACTCAGACTCTCCTGCTCCATTAGCAGTACAGGGGCTATGACCCACACTTGAGCTCTGCTTGCATCCGTGCCAGGGCCACGTGAGCAATATCTACCTAGCAACCACTGCTAAACCCTTTGGAGGGGTCGGGCCAATGGCTGCAGTTTATTTGCCAAGTCCAGGATAATTCCCTGCCCCTTAGAGGCTGCACATTAAAGGGGTCACACAGGCATTGCCCCGCCTGCAGGGGGAGCCAGTTCAGACTCCCACCAGCTCCAGGCAAGTCCCGGTTCAACGCTGAAGGCTCTGGAGAGAACATCAGACCCAGCAATTCTCAGCCGCCCCCTGGGCAGAACCTCTTCTCTCCGCCCTAGGGGCTTTCCTCCCCGCCCCAGCCGGCGCACGGCCGCCGTCTCTGCTTTGCACAAGGCCCCGCAGCTGCCAAAACAACGGGCGGCCGGCGTGCGAGGATGGTTTTAACAAGGAACCCCTGGGAATGGCGGGGCCGTGGGACGCACTTTGCGTGTGCGCGGGCAGGGGAGCACCGGGGAGGGGGGCCTGCTGGAGCAAGTCACGTTCCCCTTTGAGCGAGATCCGAAGGGGGTGTTATTTGGGGGGGGGAAAAGGGGGGTGATTCCCACTCAGGCTGCTGCTGGCTTGGCTCAGGCCCTGAAGGGAGGTTGTATTGTCAGGCAGCCCCAGGCAGGGCCCTGCAAGCCCAGCGTTCACTCCGGCTCCAGCAGAGAAGCCGGGGGCTGGCGGATTCGTGCCACGCTGGCAGCTTGGGAATAAATCCACCCCCCACTCGGCCTCAGGGCTTTGCTGCAGCAGGAGGGTGGGCGAGACGTCCAGACCCTGCCCCTCCACCCGCAGGAAGTGCTGTTAGCAGCACCGGGCCCGGGGCCCCCCAGCGGAGCCGCTCGGAGCAGCTCGGAGCCTGCACCGGCCGGCTCTAAGGATGCTTCCCTAGGCGCTGGCCCCAAAGGCCCAGCTGAGCCCAGTCTGGGGGGCTCACCGCAGGGGGACAGGGCAGCCTGGGTGTTTATTCCCTGCGGAAAGCCGGGGAACAGCATCAGCCACTGGCCAGGAGGGAGGGAGGATTCCTAGGCCCAGCTCCGTCATTGACCTATGACCTCAGCCAAGCCACTTTGCCTCCTTGGGACTCAGTTTCCCCATCTCCTTCCCTGGCCCCAGCACTGCAGCGTCTGTTAGCCTCACACGCCCGGCAGGGCAGATGGGAACCGCGGCCGGGAGAGGCAGAGTGGCTGGGCCAGCATTAGACGGGGACTCCCCCCAGCTCTCCCCCGATCCCAGGACCCACCAGGAGGCCCCCCAACTTGAAACTCTCCCAGTTGGGTTCTGGGCCGACCTCCGCCCCGGAAGGGTGGGGGGTGGCGCAGCCCCCAGCCCGCTGGGTTTGCTAGAAAAAGACAGGGCAGGTGCTCCCCACGCTCGCCGTTGCTGCTTCACCGTCATTCACCGCTCACCCCTCCCCAGCACCAAGTTCCCAGGACACGGCCAGGGGGCGAGTCACCCACCCTGCTGCAAACAAGAACCGCAAATCAACTGCCCGGGGGCTGGCATGAGCAGGAGGGACCTGGGCTGGTCTCTAGGGAGCCCCACATGGACAGGACGGCTCTGGGGGCACCACACGTCGCCAGCCCTGGCTTGGATCGCCACTTTGCCCCTCTCCAGCAACCTTCCCCCCCCAAATGCCACGGCTGGGGGCTCACTGCTACCTCCACTCCCACCTCATAAGGCAGCCCCTCCCCCTCTGGAGCCCTCGGCCCCCCCTCCATTCCCGCCCTACCTTCAGCAGGAAGTTTTCCAGGGAGGCCATGGCACTCGGGTGCCTTGCTGCAGTGAGCTGTGATGAGCCGGGTGGGCCCCGGGCCATCCCTGGGCAGCTGCGCGTCCTCTCCCCACACCAGCCGCCCTGCTCCAGGCTCTTCCGCCTGCCAGCTCAGGCCGGGGGTGTCAGACCCAGGTTCAACTCCCAGCTCTCCAGGTGCATCCCTGGGCAAGCGGCTTCATTTACACCCTGCCTCAGTTCCCCACCTGGACGAGAGGGGGTTATTCCCCCTCCCCCTTTGTCTGTTCAGACTGGGAGCTCACTGGGGCAGGGATGGACTGTGCAGCACCCAGCCCCATGGAGCTCTGCTTTCGGCCAGGCCGGAGCAGCGTCCTAGTTACCATCCATCACCCACCCCCCAGGTCTGCGCAGCCCACCCTCCTGCATCGCTTGCCCTGTGGACCCCGTCCCCCGGCTGGGAGCTGGGGCGGCCTAGCCTGTGTCCAGCCGGGCGCACGGCTGGCTTGCAGCACCATGGTGACCGGAAAACCTCTCCCAAGTCCACTCCCTGCCCTAACCTTAGCGGGGCTGCCTTGATGCAGGGCTATTTTAGGCCACTGCCCACATGCAATTAGGCCCTTAGCCACAGGAACGCTGGGGCTCCCTCATGGCTCCAGGCAGGGCCGGAGGAGCAGCTCCGACCGAGGGGCTGGCCCGAGGCACCTGCAGGCTGGGAAATCGGGGAGCAGACCCCACCGACAGTAGGGGGAAGCCTGTCCTGATCAGCAGGATCCCCCCCGCCCCCCAATTCCATTTACAGCAGTTCATCGGGGGCGAGGGCCTGTGGCTGTACTGGAGAGAGCTTACAGGAGGGCTAAGCGTGGCCCCCCTCAGACAGACACTCATGGGGGGCTAACAGAGGAGCTTAATGGAGACGTCCTCAGAGCCACTCAGCCCATGCAAGGCTGACAGGTGCATGGGGCTGGGAGTCCGGATGCCTGGGTTCCGTAGCCAGCTCTGCCACTGATCCCAGGGGCGAGTCCTTTCGCCCCCGCTCCTCTGACCCCCACCTCCCTCGGGGACACTCCCCCATCTCGGGAAGCGAGCGAGCCAAGGTGAAATTACAACAGCCACACGCGGATGCAAAACAGTCTCATTGTATTGATCAGAATCTGTGCCAAGCATTTTAACAGCGACATCCGTGTCTGTACAAAACCTCACCCCCCCCACCCCCACAGCTAACCGCACCCGTGTCCCAGCCACAGCCCCGCCCCCCTCCGCTGTCTAGCGCTGCTTGGGGGGTGGGGGCTCCATTTGATAGACACGTCCAGCGGGGAGCCCTCACTTGCCGAGCCACCCTCTTCCTGTAGCTATTTCCTGAGATAAGAACCAGCTTTGCTGGGAAGTTCCCCCCGGCTCCATGGAACCAGTTTCTCTCCCCTCCCCCAGCAAGAGGGACGGAGCAAGTGAAGATGGAGGCAAAGCCTTTTCCTGACGGGCTGCAGGTCACCAAGAACGGCCCCATCTGCGCTCAGGCCAGGGCTGTCCGAGTGCTGACTCCGCGTTCCAGAGAACGGACACGCCGCCTGTGGTCCAGCCATCCCCAGGGTCTGATCCCGCGGGGTGCGCAGCAGCTCGAGCGCTCGCCCGGCCACGGGACAGCCCCGCACCTCGGTCTACAGGCCAGAGGGACGAGCAGTTCTGCTGGCGTCAGGCCGTTACAAAGGGATCTTCTCTCTCCAGCCCAACGCGGCACCGGGCAGAGAGAGACAGACACCCCCAAGGTTCAGTCACCTGTGCCATAAATAGGGCTGAGAGACGCACCAGACGTCGCAGGAAGTCACACAGAGCCCGGCGCTGCAGAGACAGGAGGATGTGGCTGGACCAGAGCAGAGCTGCTGGCTGCCTTCCAGGGGAAAGCAGGAGGGGCCCCACCCCTCTCAGGGCCGGGATGCTCCCCGCTGCGTCAGGGGAAGAGGGTGCCTGCTCGGAGATCCCTCTGGCTCCTGCTCCATGCGGAGCACTTGTCACAGCTGCTGGGAGCCTCTGGGGTAGCACCAGGATCCCGCTCTTCCCGGGACAGTCCTGTGCCCACTGCCGCCTGGCCCGCTGGAGACACGGGCAGGGGCATGGCCAGCCTCTCCCACGCCTCTTGCTCCAGGCGCTGCTCTCTTCTCCCGTGGCCTCTCTGCTGATGGTACTGGCCTGAGGGCAGAGCCCGTTTGATGCTGCCCCAAACAGGCTCCGACCCATCAGCTCATCCGCCCCCAGAGCTATTGGAGGGGTTCGGTCACATGAGGCCTGGAAGCGAAGGGCCCCCACGGCCCATTCACCCAGGACACCTGAAAATCCCCCCTAACCGTGCAGACGGGCCCAGCTCCCTCCTCCAGCAGTTCCCACGAGCAGGCACCCAGGCTGCCGCTGGGGCTAGATCCAGTTCTTGCTGCCCCCCCGCCCCCGTCCCCTTACACGTTTCTCCTTCTGTGGGGGGAGCAAATATCCCCTCTGCCCTTCACAGCAGAGCCCCCCCAGCTCTGAAACCCAAGCCCTGGCCCCACACTCTGCCAGGGCACCGGCACCAACCGGGATAATAAATAAATAAATAAACCTAAACAAACTTCTTAAAACTTGGCTGCTCCATGGCCCCCCCGTGCCCCCCCCGTAGCCAGCGCCCCCTACAGGTGGCTCTCCTCCTCTTCCAGAGAGCGGTTCAGTCCCGGGATGAACTTCAGGAGCCTTTTCCGGAAGCTGGTGTGTTTGCTCTTGCGGGGCGTGACCGTGCAGCTCTTTTGGTCACCTGGCCTGTCCCAGAAGTGGCCCACGGCCCCGTTGCTGCTGCTGGTGCATTTGACGCTGGCACTGCGGGTCAGGGCGGGCCGGTGCTGGGAGAGGGCTGGGGGGGCGCTGCCCCCGTCCCGCCCAGAGTGCCCGTCCAGGGAATCGGCCGAGTCAAAGAAGCAGGTCTGGTAGACGGAGTCCTCGCTCTCCTCGGTGGCGGTGCTGACGCAGCTGGATGTGCTGCCCGCGCCCGACAGCATCTTCCCGAAGGCGAGGGAGCCGCTCGTGAGCCCGGCGCTGTACAGGCAGGAGCGGACGGATTCCAGCGTGTCGTAGATGCTGGGGTCTTTCACCACGATCCCTGGGGGAACAAGGGGCGTTAGAACAGGCTGGGCACCGGAACGCCCAGTGCAGCCAGGGAGTCAGCCGGCAGACTCGTCCCCTCCCCGGCTGGTCTCAGCAGTTCCCATATGGAAGGGCGGGGGCTGGGTATGCTCCCACCCCCATCCCAGCACGGGGAGGTTCCCACCCTGCTCCGGCAGCTTTTCACTCCCACAGCAAAACAGGCCCCCGCAGCCCAGCGCCCCCACTCACCACGCACCAGCCTCTGTTCCTGGACCATCAGCGAGCGGTACTCCCCCCACTTCTCGAACAGGGTTTGCTGCAAGACAGACAGGCCAGTTAGAGCTGCCCAGCGGGGACCTGGCTGCGGACGGGCGGGTTGCTCACTCCAGGTCACAGCCTCACCTTTAGGTACTGCAGCCGGGCCTCCAGCTCCGCTCTCCGGATGGACGTCCCGTACAGCGTCTCCAGCCTGCAAGAGACCAGCATCTGGTAGCGACCAACCAAATCGCGACCCCCCCATGGAGAAAAGGGGTCCCGTGCCAGCCTGCCCCCCCCCCCAGCAAAGGGGATGTTCTCTGCAGACCTCCCCTTTCAAGCCCCTGCAGCAAAGAGGCATTGGGTGTTTTTCCAGAGTTCAGCCCAGCACAGGAAAACCCGGCTCCTTGGGCTGCCCTGGGACCAGCTCATCCATCTCGTGCCCCCCGAGGCAGGACCCGGCGCCGAGCTTGGGTCTGACACGGTCCCGCAGCAGAGGGGAAGGAGCCTTCCTTTCAGCTCGTTGCCAGGCCAAGGGATCGGAGCTGGAGCGAGCTCCCTCGCAGCCAGGTGGGGCACTCCAAGGGTGGCCCGTTCCCCCCGACTACGAGACCCCCAGCCAGCGGGGGACGCGCAGGAGCTGCTCTAAGCAAGGCGCTGGGCTCTGGGAGCCAGGGCAGCCCCCAGTCCCACTGAGTCAGCCAGTTCCTGTGAGCACCGGCTGCTTCTTCCTGCCCCCCGGCCCCACCGCCAGGACAAGCCAGCCAGGCACCAGAGCAGTGGGACAGCTGATCCCCACCTCCCACCAGAGCACGGGGAACGCGTCCCAGCCCCAGCTCTCCTGCCCCCAGGGCAGCTGCAAGCGTCTCACCTGAGCACGTTCCCAGAGGCCTTGATGATTTCCACGATCTCACGGTGCCGGATGCCCTCCACGTTCAGCCCGTTCACCGCGGTGATGGTGTCTCCTGGGAGGCAGGTACAGCACTTAGCCACCCGCACCAGCAGCACGAACTTCAGCTCGGTGCCCCCGCAGGGGACTGGCTGACGCAGCCGCCCCCTTCCCACCCCATGGATCCAACACTAACCCCGAGCCCTGCACAGAGGGGGCAGGGCAGCCGGAGCCACATGGCACAGAAAGGACTTTCCCCAGCTCAAACTCAGGGCACAACTGGACAAGAACCCACAGTCCTGGCTCCCGGTCACCACAGCTCTGACCACCAGCCCCCAACCCCTTCCCCAGGCCAGGGAGAGAACCCAGGAGTCCTGGCTCCTCGGTCGCCACAGCTCTGACCACCAGCCCCCAACCCCCTCCCCAGGCCAGGGAGAACCCAGGAGTCCTGGCTTCCGGCTGGAATCTGGCTGGTCGGGAACATTACAAGAACCAGCGCATGGCAGAGCTCAGAGCTACCCCACCCCACTCTGTCTGCTCATGGAAGGCCCCATGCCCCAGTGAACTTCGCAGAGTCGCTTCCTGCGCTGGGCTGCCCAGCATCAGGCAGTGACATGTGCGGGGACGTGATAAGGTGGGGACACTGCCTGTGTGGCTGGCATCCGCCAGGGGCTGCGTGCAAACAGGAGCGATTGTGAAGGGCAGCGTTTGTGACTTCCCCCTCGCGCCTGAGACCAGTCAGCTCCCAGGGGCCCTGCAGCCCAGAGCTCTGGGAGTCAGTCAAACAACGCAAGGCCAAGAAAGGGCAGAGGGGCTGACACCCAGGTGCCGCGCACGGAGCTGCCTTTTCCTGAACCATTTCTCAGTTCTCCTCCTCCCACTCGGCAGCTCCCAGCTCCGGTTACCTCTGTTCCGCTTACCCTTAACCAGACAGTGAACAGTGCAGGTTTATTGCCACTATTGTTAGTGAAATATGGGTCTGCTCCTGAAAGCCAGGATGCCTGGGTCCTACCCCTGGCTCTGACAGCCCCCCCCAGGGGTGTGAGATGGGGACCAAGCCCCGGGGAGCTGGCGCGATGCACTTACCGGGTGTGAGCCCCGCTAGCTGGGCTGGGCTCCCCTCGTGGACCCGGCAGACAAAGGTGAACATTTCCACGCTCTTCTTGTCTTGGTGGTGGAGTCCATAGGTCTGGAATGAGCAGCCGCCAGTTTGTTAGTGGGAAGGGCTGAGCGAGCACTGGCCGGCCGGCCAGATACACGGGAAGCCTCCGGCCCCGAGGTTAGCCCCATCCATCTCCCAGTGCCGCGTTACCTCCCCAGGTCCCTGCTACAGCCGGAGCCAGGGACTGCCTACGCCGCCTCCCCCCAGCTCCGTGTCCCTGCACGTCAGGCGCCACCACCCCAAACGTTCCGTATTTAACCAACATTTGCATAGTGCTTAGCAACGCACAGCGACGCGGGCCCCCCCACGGGCCCCCAAACCCAGCCCGCTCCAGATGGCTGCTTTGCGTGAGCTGCCGGCCCCCTCCCGCCATCTGAACCGTGACTGAGTCGGGGGCGGTTTCTGTAACTTCGGCATCATCGCTGCTAAAAATAAACCCTGGCTCAGATGCAGTTTAAAAATACTGCAAATGCAGAGCAAGGTCTGGTCTGAAATCGCTGAAACCAGGGCAGCTCCTCTGCCCCGCGAGCACGCTGCTGCTCTGGGGAACAGCGCTGCCTGCAACAGCCGAGCACGGGGCAACCCCACCCCTACGAACGGCTGCTAACTGCACCGCGGGAACTGATACAGCTACGCCTGGCCGTGCGGCACTGGCTAGCCCCCAGCACCACAGCTGGGAGGAGTGGCTAGGAGAGGCAACCCTGGGTCCCCAGGGGGCCTGCCTGGCCAGCGCTGCCTGGCAGAACCATGATCCGAATCCCACTTGAGGTTGGTTTTCTTAGAGCGAGGGCCAGCCAATTTCTCTGCCCTCGGGGGTGGGGGGCACTCACCTGGATCTCAAACCCAAACGTCTCCTCTGCCTCCTTGTCCAGCGTGATCACCTTCCTGGGGAGAGAAAGGGTCATCAGCAGCGGCCTGAGACTCCCCGTTCCAACCCACCCAGGGCTGCGTGCCTGGAACAGAGCCACGAACCCCAGGGCAGCATCTCACCCGTGTCACTGCTATTGTTCCCTGCAGCACCGGTGATATCCCCCCACCCCAGCGGCGTCTCGCCAGCATGGAGCATGGCTACCAAAAACTCAACCCCCCTTGTCACGAATCACGTTCAAATCCCTTCCTCAAAACACTTCCTCTCTCCCAGGGGCCTCGAGCCAGGGCCTCGAGCCACAGATGGGTTAAGTGACTTGCCCAAGGTGACACAGGTCAGTAGCAGAGCCAGGACGAGGCCCCAGGAGTCCCAGCTCCCGGGTTTAAAGCAGGAATGATCTGAGGCCAGAGCCATGTTTAATTATACAGCTTCCCCAGCGAGGGGCAGGAGGGGGAAAGAGACAGCAACACAGACGTGATGACTTCAGCGTGGGCCTGACCCACAGCGGAACCCCACCCTCCCACCACGAAAGGGGAATCCACCCTGACTACCTGCCGGGCTCTACGTACCGAGCATCAGGCCCCACCCTGCAGGCCACCCCGTTTCACAGCCACCGGCGGGCTGGCCCCACCGCTCCCCGAAGCGTGTTATTTAACAAGTTGCGTAAGCGTTTCCTGCCCGCAGCTCAACGATTACGCTCCAAAGGGGTTTATTCTCGTGCTCCCGAACAATGCAGGCAGGAAAGTGCGTCGTGCCCCTTGGCCAAGCAGCTGCTTCAGTGTTTCACTGAATTAAGCCTTCGCCGAACAGCTCCCCCCAGATTCAGCATGAGTCACTGGGCCGTCTCCGGGGTGTCAGGAGCCGCAGAGAGAAAGGAGCTATCGGCAAACCTGGAGGAGCACCGAGGATAATCGCTGCTGTCAGGAAACCGACTGACACTGCCTGGTGCTGTGAACTCGGGAGTGTCCCTTAACCTCTCTGCACCTCATGTCCCCCCCCACTGAAAATGGGGACAGTGGCACAGCCCTGGCAGAAAGCCTTGGAGGACGTGACATGGGACGGCTCACAAGCCCGGCCCCCCATGTGCTGCCCAAGGGTTACCATCCTAGTCTCTGCTGGAAGGAGCCTGGATTGCTGGTCCCACTTCCAGCACCTGAAATATCAGGGCTGTGATCGGTTTTACTTTCCCAAGGAGGTGGCTTGTCTGGGGCACTCGAGATCTCTGCTCCAGCATCGCTACTGATGCAACCCGCCAGTGTTAACACTACACTAGTGGAACACGTCTACGAGGGTAAAGCACCACTTGCACCAGTGCAACATACCCCCCCCCGTGTCTGGGCTCCCAGTGCAGACACGTTACCCAGCTGCAAGCCCCGCCTTAAAGCCAGCGGCAGCACATCTCCACCACCCAGATTCCCAGACTCCTAAAGCAGACAAGCCCTTCAGTTTATAATTAAACCCGGGCGCCCCTTCGCGAAGGGGATGCAGCTTCTTCCAAGTGTAGCCGGCAGGAAAAGAGCTGCACGTCCAGCCTTCCCATTGACTCTAGCTAACGGCCACGCCAGCCCCACCGAGGGGACAGCCTGAGCCCCTGGGAAGCAGCAGGGCTGGGGGGTCGCGTGGGGTGAGTTAGGACACCGCCGCGTACAGCCGGTTTGCAGGCTGGGGCACATCAGGTCCCAAGCACCACCTCACGCTCCAGCAGGACCCCACACCGAGGGGCCGAGGGCTGGGATGTTTCCAAAGCCCTCTCAAAAGAGTCCATGTGCTAGAGACAGTGACTCGGCTGCCGGCTGGATCCTTCTGGCACTCGGATAATTAAAGCCGGCTTTGAATTTCTTTTACATGCGCCACGGAGGCTGGAGAGGAGAGACCTCCCTGGATCGGAGCCCAGCCCCTGCAAAGGCAGGAACCAGCGTCCCCGGAGGGGAAAAGCCCCCATCACAGGACAGCAGCAGCCGCCGGCAGCACAAAATCGGAGGGGCCCTTTCCCAGCTCTGGTGTCAGCCTCGCAAAGGGAAACAATCCCCACACCTTCAGCCTGCTGCCCTTCCAGAGGCGTTTACCAGCTCACGTGCTGTGTGTCATGCCTGCCCCTGAGCGGGTATTTAACAAGCTCCACTGGAGGGCTCCCAGCCGCTCATCTGGCTCATAATGGGTCTTATTTACCGTGGGAGAATTTCACCCTCTGGTAAAGAAAATTCATCACTTCCCCCTGCCCCCACGCAATCACCTGCCATGGCTAACCTATAAATAAAGGCTATTTTGAGCGACTTCTCTCTGTGGTTCAAACATACACGCTTCTGCAACTCGTTCATTGCTGTCACAGCCTTGCTAAAGGCCCAATCCTGAGTGGTGCTTGCAGCTTCCAGCCTGGTGGGACTGAGCGGTGACTGGTCGCGCCGAAACCCCAGGAAGGCTGGGATAAAAGCCGGCAAGAGAGGAAATCCAATGCTCTGAGGGGAGCTGCAGCCTCTGGGGATTTTCAGCAGGCTTGTGTCTGGAGCCCAAATGGTTAATGGGTTTTCCTGGCACGCAGCCTTAGTTTTATGACACAGGCCGGATTTCTGGGCATGCTGGAGACCCACCCCCTGGAAGGTGTTCAGACCCTCTGACAGTCAGGTCCTCGGCCCTGCAAGGCCCCCGCCCCGTATGCGCCAATCCCTCGCTGACTGCAGACCTTTGCAACCCCTTGGTGTGCAGCACTTTCCCACTGCAAAGGAAAGAGGAAGTAGGGCAAGAGACCACCCTGGCTTCACCAGGAGATCTTCAGTGATCTAAAAGAGTCCTACAAAAAGTGGAAACTCAGTCAAATGACAAAGGATGAATACAAACAAATAACACAAGTAGGTAGAGAAAATTAGAAAGGCCAAGGCACAAAATGAGATCAAACTAGCTAGGGACATAAAGGGTAACAAGAAAACATTCTACAAATACATTAGAAGCAAGAGGAAGACCAAGGACAGAGTAGGGCTGTTACTCAATGAGGGGAGAAAGACAATAACAGAAAGTGTGGAAATGGCAGAGGTGCTTCATGACTTCTTCGTTTCGGTTTTCACCAAGAAGATTGGTGACGATTGGACATCTAACATAGTGAATGCCAGTGAAAATGAGGTAAGATCAGAGTCTAAAATAGGGAAAGAACAAGTCAAAAATTACTTAGATAAGTTAGATGTCTTTAAATCACTAGGGCCTGATGAAATGCATCCTAGAATACCCAAGGAGCTGACTGAGGAGATATCTGAGCCATTAGCAATTATCTTTGAGAAGTCATGGAAGACGGGAGAGATTCCAGACACCTGGAAAAGGGCAAATCTAGTGCCTATCTATAAAAAGGGAAATAAGGACAACCCGGGGAATTACAGACCAGTCAGCTTAACTTCTGTACCCAGAAAGATAATGGAGCAAATAATTAAGCAATCAATTTGCAAACACCTAGAAGATAATAAGGTGATAAGTAACAGTCAGCTTGGATTTGTCAAGAACAAATTGTGTCAAACCAACCTGATGGCTTGTTACCCTGTCAAAGAGAGCTTTGTGGATGGGGGGAAGCGGTAGATGTGGTATATCTTGACTTTAGTAAGGCTTTTGATACTGTCTCGCATGACCTTCTCAAACACAAACTAGGGAAATACAACCTAGATAGAGCTACTATAAGGTGGGTGCATAACTGGTTGGAAAATCGTTCCCAGAGATTAGTTATCAGTGGTTCACAGTCATGCTGGAAGAGCATAACGAGTGGGGTCTAGCAGGGATCGATTCTGGGTCCGGTTCTGTTCAATATCTTCATCAATGATTTAGATAATGGCATAGAGAGCACACTTATAAAGTTTGCAAACGATACCAAGCTGGGAGGAGTTGCAAGTGTTTTGGAGGACAGGATTAAAATTCAAAATGATCTGGACAAACTGGAGAAATGGTCTGAACTAAATTGGATGAAATTCAATGAGGACAAATGCAAAGTACTCCGCTTAGGAAGGAACAATCAGTTGCACACATACAAAATGGGAAATGACTGCCTAGGAAGGAGTACTATGGAAAGGGATCTGTGGGTCATAGTGGATCACAAGCTAAATATGAGTCAACAGTGTAACGCTGTTACAAAAAAAGCAAACATCATTCTGGGATGTATTAGCAGGAGTATTGTAAGCAAGACACGAGGAGTAATTCTTCCGCTCTACTCTGCACTGATTAGGCCTCAACTGGAGTATTGTGTCCAGTTCTGGGTGCCACATTTCAGGAAAGATGTGGACAAATTGGAGAGAGCCCAGAGAAGAGCAACAAAAATGATTAGAGGTCTAGAAAACATGAGCTATGAGGAAAGATTGAAAAAATTGGGTGTGTTTAGTCTGGAGAAGAGAAGACTGAGAGGGGACCGGTGACAACCTTTTATGTACTTGAAAACTGTTATCAAGGATGAGGGAGAAAAATTGTTAACCTCTGAGGACACGACAAGAAGCAAAAGGGCTTAAATTGCAGCAAGGACGGGTTAGTTTGGACATTAGGAAAAACTTCCTAACTGTCAGGGTGATTAAGCACTGGAATAAATTGCCCAGGGAGGTTGTGGAATCTCCGTCATTGGGGATTTTTAAGAGCAGGTTGGACAAACATGTCAGGGATGGTCTAGACAATACGTAGTCCTGCCAGGAGTGCAGGGGACTGGACTAGACGACCTCTCGAGGTCCCTTCCAGTTCTAGGAACTCCCACATGGCCAAGCTGCATGTCAGTCCCCCGCTCCAACAGCCCCTTCGCACGCACGCCTGCCCCCAGCCAGGGGAGCTCGTTACAAATGGAACGCTTCTGAGGCACTAATTGACTTTGCCCCCCGATGCTGGCATCCCCACTCGGCTTGGCCCGTTCGCAGGGGTCGAGAGCCCAGAGGGCCCGAGCCCAGTGCAGCTGCGTTGTGTGTGCAGAGGGAACATTTAAACTTCCCTGAAGCTTTAGGAATTCATGAAACTTCTCTCTGATATTAGGTTGGGGTTTTTTGTTGTTTTTTTTTACACACAATCAGCCCCCCTCCCTTGCCGGCAGGGCACCATGGGGCTGTTCCCCTTACCCCCTGCCCTGGGCCAGCCCCACAGACCACAAGCCGGTTTGCAGGCCTGATCCGGGACAGCGGAGGAGTGGGCACCGCCTGGCGTCACAGCCACAACTGGGGGTAGCGACAGTTAACAGCCCACACCCAAGAGCTGATCAGAAGCTGGAGGGTGCTTTTTCGGAGCCCGTCGAGATGCTAGGGCGTAGCGAGAAGCGGCTCTGGCTGGGAGAAGGGGAAGGAGGCTGCTGTACTCTGAGTCAGACGAGACTTTTGCTGCCCCCGGTTGTTGTTTGGGCTAAGGAAGCGGTGTGGCTTACCGGTGCTGCTCCGGGGACTGGCTCAGAGATTTCCATTGGCATCCAGAGCCCTAGGAGAGTGAGAAAACAGACCAACGTTAGACCGGCCCATCCCTTCCCCCCTGCGCCGGCATGCAACGGCAGACGCTTCCCCACGGGGCCCCGGAGCGTTCGCTGCAGAACTGCACATGGCCCTTCCATACCACCTTCCGGGTGAGTCCTGAGCCCCATAACGTCACTTCCCAGCCGCTGCGGCTGGCAGAGAGGGAGTGACCTCGCCCAGCCATCCCGGCTAACAGCGTGGCAGGGATATAAAGCCCAGCAAGCCGGGGGCTGACCTCAGTCTGGCTGGCCCCTGCTGGAGCCAGGACACGGGACTGGAGGGACTCTCAGGTCTGACCCAGCCTGGCCAGTCACACAGCGACTCAAGGGCTGGGCCAGGCCCCAGGGATCCCAGCTGGAGAGCCAATGCCATCCTGGGCCCTAGCTGCAGGGCACGTGTGAACGTGGAGGGAGGGGCGGCAGGCTCTGCCTTCACAGGGCTGCCGCCCGGCATACAGGCAGGTTCCACCCTGTGTGATGTCCCCATGTAACCAGGGGACCTGGGCAGAGCTCGCCTCTACCCAGCACCACCGAAATGGCTCCCCTTCGCCCCGCCTTTTACCAAGGCGCAGATTCGCCAGCGCACAATCGCTGCACCAGCACCCTGCACAACGAAGTGTAAAATCTGCCTCCCCCTGCGGCTCCGGCTGGCCCCTAGAAAGGGCTCGAGGGGCATTGGGAAGAGGGGTTGGGCTCTGCCCCTTTGGAGCCGTTCGGGGTCAGGCACCCACCCCCTGCCCAGCTGCTACATCCCCGACGGGCACCAGCTTAAGCAGGTGTTTTAAGACCCCTTCCAATGTGGCGCCCCCGACCCTGCAGCATCCGCCTCCCGCTCTGTGACCAGTAGAGCCCCTTGGCGGCTGAACCGCTGGGGAGCACCAGGCAGCAGCGGCGAGAAGACACAGCTGTTTACTCCTGAAACCGACCGCCTAGCGCCGCAATGGAAACCTGAGGCGCCGGGTCAGCTGACTCCGGCTGGCGGGGCTCAGGTGACGGCCCTAGACGGAGCAGCGCACACGGGGGCTGGAGCCCAGGCCAGGGCCTGAACCCGAACAGCTCCACTGCAAGGGTCAGTCCTGCAGCTGGAGTCAGCTGACCCGGGCCAGCCGGGGCCGAGCCGCAGGTCCCTTACGGCAGTGGAGATTCCCGCCCCAGCCCGAATCTCGGGAGCAGACTGCCCTGCGGGGGCGCTGCCCTTTGGGAAGATGAGACGCCAAGGTCCTGCCGCGCTTTCGGATCCCATCGTCCCTCTTCGCGAGAAGGCCAGCGACCTCGGGAAATGTCAGCCGGGCAATTGCCCCCCCCGTCCTCCCCGCAGGGAAACGGCGCACTGGATTCCAGAATGTGCCGTGCTGATGGGTCATGTCAACAGTGGCTGCACGCCACCCCAGATGCAGCTGCATTTGGACAGAGTTTGTGAAGCGCTTGGGCACGAGACGTGCGACAGAGGACAAAGAGCAGGCGCGAGAGGCCCCACCAGGCCAGGGCTGAACCAGGGGACAGATCGAATCATGCTTCGGTTTAAGCTGGAGCCTGCATCTGTTTGACACTTGTCCCCCGTTCTGACGTCAAACGGAATCGCTGGCTCCTGTCACGTTCTGTGCATTGCGTGCTGTGGCAAGCACTCTGTGGGGCTGGGAGATGAAAGCCCCGCGGACAGAAAGCCTCTTTGTTTTCCTCTAAAGTCAGATTTTTAATGCAAAATTCAACAATCCCCCTCATTGTTGATCATTTAAAAACTGGGGAACCGACGCCCGATGGGAGGCAGCGGCAAGGCAGACGAGCCAGATGAATTCGCATAAATGGATCACCCTGAGGTGGGCGGCCCCGGGACCCACTTCATAGTCAGCCGTAAGAATTTCAGACATCTCGGCCGAGGCACAAGCAGCGGCTGACTATAAAGTCGGGGCTTTGTCACCAAGTGTCTTTTTTTGCTGCTCTTTGGTTCAACCCGATCCCCGCTCGCAGCGGCCAAAACGCAGACAGCAGGTTTTTATTAAACTGCCTTTGAAAAGCCCAGCCGCCCCCACCCCACACAAGTGGAATTCGGTTTGAAAATAAACACGGGCTAGAGCACTGCCCCAAGCTCCCTGGATCGCTGGCCAAAGCCTCCATCTTCCCCCATAGCTCGACTGCACCCTCAGCCCAGCGTATCGCCCCCCTTAGCACCCTGCCCTCGCCAGTCGGGCTCATCTCTCTGCCACTGTCTTAGCTACACTCCTCGGAAGGGCTGCCCCGTGGGCTCCACTGGCCGGGCTGCCATCTGCCAAACGCCGCCCCGGCCAATTCCGCGGTGCTAGCGGGCAGGACGCGTGCACAAAGTGAGCCCCGCCGGGGACCCGCGAGCCGGCCAGCCAGCCACTGCCGCCGCCAGGGATCTCCCAGCTCCTGCCCCGCGGGAGGAAAGAGCGCAGAGCAGAACTAAATAATCCAGAGGCCCGTTCACAGCCCTTCCTGAGCGGAGCAGAGCGAGGCAGCTTCAACCGGCAGCCAACTGAGCTCCTACTTTTATCTCCAACGATAAACATTATCCCCCCCCGGGGCCCCCTTTGGTCCTTGGCAGAATCAAAGCATTGAGCAGCAGCCATGGACCCGGTGTCGCCACGTGTAATTAAACCGACTCTTGTGCAAACACGTGCTTCCGACACGAAGCCGAGGCAGCAGGGAGGGACGCCACGCCCTGCGGGTGGAGCATCGTTACTTCTGCTGGGGTGGCAGGTGGGTAACGATGGCCCACACCTGCCAGGGCTGCCCTCCCCAGCTGGGATGGGCAGGAGTCAGAGGGGGAATTTAATCTGCCCCCCACCCCCCAAAAAAGAGGAAGCTCTGTGCTCAGAGGAGCCAGGTGCTGATAAACGTACACGGAAACTGACCATGCAAATGGCTCTGCGCCTCCTATGGAAATCCAGGTTTTGAAAGTGAAATGCGCCGGTCCTGCTCCCCGACAGCTCCATAAACAAACCATGTGGTTCATCCACTCACCAGCAGAGCTGGTTTCCTGCCTGGGGCTGGAGGCACGGCTTGGTTTGCGACTATCCAGCTTTCTCCAAGTTTCCGCACAGCTGAGTTTCAGCCTGGAAGAGCCCAGACTGTGCACACACGAGGGCTCACAAGCCACTGGAGTGCGACTGGCTTGGGGGTGAAGGGCAGTGTCGGGAGGCACAACAGCGGGGAGATTTGGGTAAAGGATCAGGGGAAGGCAGGCGGTTATCATTAGCATCCAAGCAGAGAAGTGCTGGGTCTTCCCACGCTGACCTGCCCAGAACACACGTCTCTGTCCTCCAGAGGTTCTGAGAAGCTACGTGGATGCAAAGGAGTAAACCCAATGCACTGTGCCGCCAACCCCCTGGACCCCTGCCCCAGACGCACTGAAGCCCTGTTCTGGCGGGTGCTGGCTAGGGCGTATTTCCCTCTGGCACGAACACAAGGCCGGCTGCCCCCTTTGCGCTGTGCCGTTCCTGCTGCCAGCTCCAGGACTCTGCACTAGATCGCCCTCCTGGGCTTTGAACCCACTGCACCAGCTTGTCCAACCATTTCAAACGTGATGATCAGCCACTAAGCCCCCCC